TGTCCTCGCTACCAACAAACGCGCGCGCGCGCACACACACACAACACACACACACACTCCGCCCTCCCTCGCTCGCTCCCGCACCTTCTCCTCTCTCTCTCTCTCTCTCACTTCCTAGCTGGAAATTCCCACTGACGTTATTATGAGAGGGGCGGCGGGGAAGAAAAAAAGGAAACACCCACCCGGGGGAGGGGAGGGAAGGGAGGAAGAGCTTTGAGATCGTGAGGAAGGGAGGAAACGGGGCGCGGGAAGGTTGGGTTGGTGGGGGCGCCTTTTACGAGGCCGGGGAGAGAGAGAAGCGGGCCGGGACGCGCCCAGGGCGGCGCAGCTGCTCGCTACAACCCTCCTCCGCCTGCCTGCCTGCCTTACTTCTTAATTACTCGGAAGTAATTTGTCACGACGGCTGTGTTCGGGTGCCTCGATCCGGCCGGCCGACTTCTCTGCCTCGTGTGGGGAACCGGTGCCCCCCCAGAGTGGCGGCCGAAAAGAAAAAAAACAAGCCGAGTTTGAGGAAAAGACATAAATCTTTAACCTTAGCTTGCTTGCTGTACGTTTGCTATAACTCCTTGGCGAGTAGAAACAAAAGGGGAAGGGGCGAACTTTTTTTTTGCACTGATCCGGATCGCGGTCCCGTAACCCCGGTCCTTCCTTTAGCTAACCCCCTTCTCACGTGACGTTAACTCTGCTTTAAAAAAAAAACAAGCGTATTTCCTCAAGTCAATTCTGACCCGTGGTGGCCCCCTTTGAGGGCTTTCTTGGTAGAAGGTGATCTGCCATTTCCTTCTGGGGCTGCCCTGGGACTGGGCAGTTTGCCCAAGGCCACAGGGGGCTCTGAGTCTACTTGCCTCGGGAGGCACCGAGTGTTGAACCCCCAACCTCGGGCTCTGCAGCCAAAGGCTAACTCACTGAGCTATCCAGCCAGTTCCGATTTAAAGAGGCTGGAGAAACAGTATATATTTACAATAATTCTCGGTCTTACTAAATTTGCAGTGCGGTGTAGTCCTCATGATGGACTAGGACTCTGGATATCAGGGTTCGAATCCCTATTTAGCCATGGGAGTGGAACTGGAAAACCCCTCCTTAAATATCTCATTTACCTTGAAAGCCCTATTAGGGCTTTTCCCCTATAAGTTGCTTCCGACTTGACAGCACAAGACACACACACATTAAATTCAGTGGATCATACCCTCAGAGTAGGTGAATTAAAGGGATGGAGAAGGTATGGTTTCCCAGATGTTGTTGGACTTCAGCTCTGTCAATCCAATCCAGCGTAGCTAACAGTGAAAGGGCTGACTGGAGTTGCAGTGTAACCATGTCGAGAGCACAGCTTGAGAAAGACACTTTTTGACTGCAATAGCCAGAATCTCCCAGACCAAAGAGATGGGCTGTGGCATCTATGATGTTCTGGTATTGTAAAATTCACTATATGTTGGCAGAATATGGATTTATAATCTGAATAGGATATTTATTTATTTGCTTGTTTAATTTCATTTATATACCCCCCACTAGTGCAATGCACTATTCTGGGCAGTTGGCAAGCTAAACCTGAAAAATCACAAACAAATAACAAATCAAACAATAAAACAAAGTACAATAAAACAAACATTTCAAGTATGAATGCCAAGATAGTGTGATGCTTCATAATAAAATGATAAGATGACAGGACAATGGTAGGAAAATAATGCGATGTTGCCATCAAATACATCTCTAAATAGCACTCTCTTTAAAGGTAGGCAGTAAGGGGACCAGCTTCCTTGCAGTCACTGTTAATACACAGCTCAAGCAGGTTAAGTCAAGTTTCTTCATTCACATTAGCTCTCTGCATGCAAAAGATCATACATTATCAAAGAATAAAACTGTCACACCAAAAATTGAGAGGAAAATACACCAAACATCAGATATGAAACAGTACTAGGTAAAATCAAGTCACAAAAGTTTGTTTTTTTAAAAAAAGATTTAGCATGCGTTGGCACATGACAACAAGCACTTTCAAGAGTGTGGAAAATTTCCTGAGAACCTACACAGCATTGTTATAGAATCTATGTTCTTGGACCACAACTCCCAGAAATTCCGGCCAGCACAGCTAGTGGTGAAGGCTTCTGAGAGTTGTAGTCCAAGAACATCTGGGGACCCAAGATTAGGAACCACTGCCGTAGATGAAAAACCTAACTTCCAAACTCTGTGACATTCTTTCTGCCTGGACAATAACTTTTCTAAGATTTGGTACTTTCTCTCTGTATCATCTTTAAACATTTGTCAAACACTATTAACAAATTTAAACTTGGAGCCTGGCTAGACAGCCAAATCGGAGTGGGCAGGGTCAGACTAAATAGGGTGGGACTAATAAAATCACTTCTTAAATAACCCACTTTCTTTCAGAGCCCTGTTATGGTGGCAAAGAAGGAAAGAAAGGTAGGAAGGAAGAAAAGAAAAGAAAAGAAATCATACTAGAAGATGAGTAACCATCTAATGGGGAACAACTAAAGATGAATACAGGTAATACGCTCTTTATATATAGCAACTGGACAAAAGTTAAAAGAACATTCAGCTGCTGATCTGCACATATGTGAAGGGGAAGTCCAAAGCTGCATGGTACATATAATGTTGACCTGAAATGTTAAAAGTATGAATCCCCAGGTACAGTACTAAGCCATGACATTGTTTGGATGCTGGGCACTCTGGGACTTAAAATCCAGAAAAGTAACTTTCCTGATCTCTGAGTACTCAAGTAAATCAGTGTGAGTAAAGAGGAAATTAGTCTGCTTCTACGGGCTTAGTGAAGCGTATGTTAAGTGGAAAATAATCTCACTTATTGCATTTGAAAATAAAAAAATAAATGTTAACAGTTTATCACATTTTCATTTATTTCTCACTTGTTTTTTTTATCTTTGAACCAGTTCAAATGGGTTACTAATTATGTTCAGGAAATTGTTGAAAACCATAATTATTCAAAGCTGACTTCAACAACCAAGTCTCCCATATGCTGCTAAAATTAATGTTTTGTTTTTTATTTTCTTGTTCACACTTTTCTTTCTCTTTTTTGTTTTTAATTGCCATATTGTTGTATGTATTGTTATGTGGGGTCTGTGGGACTTTTATGTTTTTACTTGTATACTGCACAGAGTAGTGCTTGCACTCATGAGGCACTGTACAAACAAACAAATAAACAAACAAGGTTTAACTTAACCTAGATTTAAAAGATTGCCAGCTTTTAACTAGAACAAATGCTTCATTAACTTTCTCCATGCACATTAGTAATCATGTAAATAGAGAAAACTAATTGAAAAGTCACAAAATGGAAAAAAGCTTTCCACAAAATGTGTCAGTTTCCCTGGAAACTAGAATGTGTGTGAGAAAAAAATTATTGTGGTAATTGCTACTAATTGTACTAATTTTTTTAAAAAAATGTATTTGTGATTTCAGTCTTACTTTGAACAAAACTTCTACAGAAGGAAGCTGGTTCATACACCCACACAGAGCAAAGTCATTTTACCAGAGAAAATGGGAAAAGCAAGCAAAGAATATATAATCTTCCAGACAATGATTGCATGACCACAACAAAAACTCTTGTTGCATTAATTAAATTGAGAATAAAGACTGTCACTATTGGCATCTTTATCATGTACAGAAGCATCAGTACAGTTGGGGATGTTTTGGAAGAGTTTGGTGTGAGGAAAATTGAGGGTAACTTAAAAATAAATTTTCCTCTAACTATACAGTAGCTAAAAATATTTTGGTCAGGAACCTACAGAGCAGATTGGATTACAGTCTCCCTTAGTAGACCACTCCTTATTTGTTTGTTTTCCTTAACTGGCACTTACTGTATTTGTTTCAATAATTCATTCAGAGAATCTGGTAAATTAGAAGGAATGAAATGTTTCTGTTTATTTACTGTTCTTATATAAAAACAAGCATCATATTTTGTGAGAATGTTAACTCGTTAATCAATTGAGCTTAACTGCTTAATTTTCTTCATTACTGACCGACTGGAGATATTCCTGACAGAACACTTCACCCTATTCACTTCTAACTCCATAACTCTAATACTCTAATAGAACACTAAGTGAACCCTGACTGGAAAAGAGGTGGGAAAAAGAATCTGAGGTAGAGTGGGAAGTATTGGCTATTACTGAGTTGACTGACATTTATTGCAGCTCCCTCCCAGGCAAAACCTCTAAAAAGCATTATATGGGGGTGCAATATATCCAACAAGTATTTGCTTCTGACTTTGGAGGAAGGCATCGGCAAAATGTCTTTCATGGATTCCAGCATTTAACCTCCCTTTTCTTACTGGGTTGCAGGGTGGTTGAGGAAGAGGGGAGAGGAAGGAACTGTCATCATTGTTCAATGAGAAAAATACGGTACATCCATTGAAATCTTAGGACAGAAAGAGGGAACTGTGGTCCAAAGATGAAGAAATTATAATGTTCTTTATTTCAGTGTAAAATGGCCAGTGCATTTTGGTGCATCAGCCTTCATCAAGAACTGTATAAAATAAAAATTAAAACATTATAACTTATTGGGGAAAACATCATGAAAATGGAAATTCATATAAACATTATTCTATAATTCTACAGCACATCCATACATTTTTTCACTGTATTCTTGTGTTAATTAATAACATTCTGGTCTAGATATATTGCATCAAAATCTTAGCATCAGAAAGGTGGACATTTTTAAAAAATTCATTTACTTCATAATCATAAATATAGATACATACAGACCATTACATACAAAACTCTAATTAGCTCTAATGACTTCAGAGTAAACTAACCTAATGAGGGTCAGTTCCTCACACCAATGACCTAATCATTGCTTATTCCTCTTG